TAACACGCTATAGCTCAAATAGATTTTATATTGTTCCTTTCTGCCGTCCCAACATAAGAAAGTTTTCTGTTTTTTTATCAAGGTCCTGTTTTCTTTAATAAGCTGAATGCTTTCATTTGTGATGCCCCCTCCTTATATTCGTTCCAATCCAGAGTTAAATACTTTCTTCTTTCCTGTTATTGAATTCTTAACTTACATTAGTCTTTGTTTAGTTTTTCGTTACTACAAGTATTTTTAATGCATTACTGTACGCCAATTTTCACTTTACTTATTTCTTTGTGACTGGGGAGCCCAGGCTTCATAAGCCTTCTGGTTTCTTCTGGGCTCCCTTGCCAACTTACAATTCTTATATGTATACTTGTATTGTAATTTATTTTGGCTAAATAAACTGAACTGAACTGAAGTTTCTCCTATCTATAAGTTACCATTTTTTTCTTATGGTGCTCCGCTATGAAAAACATGAATGATCATTATGTGAGAGACGAAGCGGACGACTGGCTGGAGTATCGTATCGGACAGCAGCAGCGGCACCGATTTTTAACAAATTCTAGAAACTACAAAACAATGAGGAGAAGCTGTAATAATGCTTTTTCCGGTATGACTAAACTGGTAAACACACAAATTTTTGTTTTAGAATAACCTGCCAAATAAGGTGTTTTCTTGGTGTTGAGGACTGCTGCAATCACTAAATGACGTAATTATACAAAAGAATGATTAGACACTACCCACACCAGAACACAGAAGCGAACCAACAATGGTTTCCGTGGCACCAAGAAACACTCAATAATAAGGATGCCGATAATTAATTTTCATTACGAGGTCCCAATCGCGCAAAATGTTGTCATTTTCAAGTTATTTTATTGCTGGACATGAACGTTTCGCATATCTTCATGTGTTATTGATCAGTAAAGTTGCCAATTTTTCTAATAAATTAGCGTAAATATTTCCTGAAAATGATGAATGAAATTTAGATGTCTCCGGGTATGACGCCACGAAAAGTGCACCGAGGCCCCTTAAAAACTTCTTTCAATACTGAGAGATCTTAACTAACATAAACTTTACCTCGCTTCATGCCTCGTCTATAATAATATCTGTCTGGATCGGGAACAAAATCTTCAGGTCTAGCTTCTTTGGTTCTGTCGCTGAACTCACACATGTTAAGAGAGATCACCCAATTGAAACTTTGGCACCTGCTGTCCTGACGACAAATAAGTACGCACTCATATCCAAAGTTTGCCTTTAGCGTCTTGTAGACGTGGTTTTGCAGCTTCCAGCCAGAGATGGATTTCTCTGACCCACCATTGATGCATTGTTGAGAGAGCGTTTCAGTGAATATTTGACTCAGCATAAAAAGGAATGCGATACTAGTGGTGTAACTGGCCGTCATTTTGACAGAACTGAAAAATAAAAATGTCGTAAATAGTACATAATTAATAGGGATGGTACGTCCATCTATCTGACCGATGACAATAACCTAGTAAAACTCAAGTAATAGCCTAGCCATTTCTCTTTTGATGACGATTTTTGCGCTTTTGGATGGTCCAAAGCTAAGCCAAGGACTCATTATCAAATTTTCTATATTAGCGATCCATTTTATTAATCCGTCAAACTTATGAAACCTCTTCTAAAAACACTTTCACATGGTGCAATTTACTTAAATATATGCAGTAACACTTCTAACTTTGGAGTCGGTGTGAATGAAATCAGCTGAAATCCAAGGTGGTAACTATATACAAATGAGACATTTTCAGTAGGAATTCCACATGGTTCTATTTAGTAATCTCACCGCATGGTAGCATGGTAGTTAGGGACTTGTCAGAAATTAGCAGTGGGGGAGGGGGAAAAAGGAAACAAAAACAAAAAAAAATGGAAAGCAAAAAAAAGCTAGGGCAAAAAGAATGGAAGCTAACTGCAAAAAGTTATTGAAACCATTGCACCTCAGCAAGAGTCGCATAATTTTAGAGCCTATTGGCCCATTATCTCTTCATTATGAAAGAATAAGTGGGCTCCTCAAAACACAAAGGCCATATACCCAATACGCCTTTGAGAAGGGATTGTTCACCAATGAATAACAGGAAATTATCAAGCAATATCCAAGCTTCAAGTTAAATGAAAATCATGATGATGATGAAAGTGATTGTATCAATGCTGATGACATAAATGATGATGATCAAGATGCTCACAACGGCATTGATGGTGACGCTGAAGACAGTGATGAAAAGGATAGCCAAAACTCTGATAACATTAATAACAACATTATTCATAATAAAAATGCAATAAGACTCTATAGCATTGCCGTGTAATAAATGAAAAGTAGATGTTTGTTAAATTCTTGCAATAGTACTTCACAGTTTGTAATTGTAATTGTAAATATCTTATTATCCACTCCCCACAGGGCTTTTCAGGGATAATTTACAACACTGGTTGGGGGACTTTGCCAGACTGCTTAGGGTGCAGTTTACAAGTACTGAAGGAATGAGTGATGATGCCCCCATACATGAGTGTGAAAGTGAGATAGTCCACTACACCGGGCACTACATGCCCTACTCTTTACGAAGAGTGTGTGGGTTCTTTAACGTCCCACAGATTTATTACATGTGCAAGGGCTTGTGAGACGGGGCCTACGGCTTATCGTCCTTATCCGAGAAGACTAGAAAGTCTAACCATTTGCAGATGTTATTACAAAGACAGCACTTTCTCCTCAGTTATTTAAAGACCCTGAGTGTTGGTCCGGCCGGGGTTTGAACCTACGGCCTCCCGCTCAGCAGACCGGCGCTCTCCCAACTGAGCTAACCGTTGTTCTTTAATTTTTTTTCTTTTTTTTTTTTTTTTTATCAAATAAAGAACTTCCTTTTTCTTCTGCAGGTGAACCTCTACATGACCACGGGCCTATATTTGCATGACCCTCCCCCTTTTAACGGCCCATTTTTCATGACCCCTCCCTTTTCTGAGTCTCAAAAAGTTGTGACCCTCCCTCCATTTCCACCCACCCCCCTCCCCTTCTGCTAATATCTGACAAGGCCCTTAGAGGCTTGCATCTCTTTCTGAAGAAAACATTTCGGAAAAAAAGTCACTGAGAATTTCAACGTTTAAATAATGTTTCTATTTCCGTTTCTAAAATGTACAAAAAAAAAGTTTGATTTCTTTAGCTGGACACGATACATTGTCCATCTTCAAAATACTTCACAAATTAGCCATTTCAAAGAAATCTAATTATGCATCTATATTTTGCAAATTTTCGTCACATAAACTCCATTTTCGCATATAACCGCTTTGCTCTTACCTGGAGGGTTTCGATGAATGTACTCAGCCCTCAAATTTTGGGCTCTGAGATTTCAAAACTCAAATTAAATAAAATAGCTGTTGTAACGAAACAGTATGCCGGTTTACTCCCAAAATAGGTAGACAAGTACTCGTCTAGTTCATAAAAAATATTATCAAAGGGTAGCGGAATATTTAGACTAGTCTTTATTGGTAATTTTTGGATATCACTTACCGACTGCTTTTATAGACAGCACTAAATTAAAGAGTATGGCTCTAAAGGATGTGGCGGAGACTCTACTCGTTTTACGAAGTTGGTGACTTTGTACTGTTTGTAATTGCGGGTTTAATAGCGCGACTATTTTTGTGAGTTATTTTCCTTCTCTATTCAAAACAATCGTGACTAACGATTCTTGAAATTGTTATTTGAAACCTGAACCAAAATATATACTTAGCAAACTTGCAGTTCATTCTATGAAACTCAGTTGATGTTGGGTATCAGTAGTTTTATTCAGTTCCTGCTTCAAAATTTAACTTTGAATAAATATTCGGCTCTCGCAAACGGGTCCTATCAAAAAAGGAAGGGTTGTTTGGTTTGCTTGGTTTGTGAAAAGCTTGAAGGCGGCGATGTCGGTTGACCAAACAATACAATAGGCCATTTACGATTCCAAAAGCTCTCACTTTCTGAAAAAAGGTTAAGCACAAACCCTAACTTAAGAACTCGGATACTCTTAAAACTAAGAACTTTTAATTCGATCTCAACTGAAGTCTTGACTGTCTTGTTCATTTCTGCACCGGTAGGTGTCTTATACAGCGCATAGATCGAAGATCATGAGACAGAGGCGGCCCAAACTCTGTGGGAGTTGTAAGACTTTATAAGAGAACTGGGGGTATGAAAATGGTCAAAATACGTCCTAAATTCCAAATAGAAATAAAAATGACGCACCTTGTGATTTTGGTTTTGTGTTTTATTTTTGCTGTTTCTTCACTTCTAAAACCATTTGGAAGCCGTTTTATCGACGTTTAAGATTTTGAATTGTACTTACCAAATTGGTGAATAGCACTTTTCCGCGCGTTAGTGATTGGCTCCCGTAACTCGGAATATCCTTGGCTATTTACCGTTTTGCGACCGGAGCCAAGATGGCGTGTCGTCCGTGTCGCTTCGAGACATTTTCGGAACACGAAATTTAAACGATAAATGAATCAGTGGCACAAACAAATACCAAGAAAGCGAATAACTTTAGCTTGTCAGTGTTTACCGGTAGGTAGAAATTATTTTCATGCTGAATTTGCAACAAAAGCGTAAAAATGCACTTGAAAAAATAACGTAAATGTTTGTGAATTGTAAATATAGTTTCTTATCTAAGTGACGTTTTTAATTTACAAAAAGTTACTTTTTTCATTTTTATCCAACTGATTTGGTAAATACTAAACTGAACAAATATCGCCCTATCAGGGTCGGTGAACGCACTAAATAATACTACCAGCACTATTCACCTCCCCTTAGATAGTTGTATCATATTTCAACGGCTATCTTGTGAACTTAATTGCTTGTGGTCACTTGACATCTTTAAAATTCAGCAGTCTTTTACAAAGTTCAGGAGCCAATAGGTCCCTCTATAGACTCTGTTTCTGGGAGCAAAATCATCAGGCAAATTTGTAAAACCTCTTTAGCGATACTTTTACATGGTGCTATTTACTTAATATGTTAGTCTAACTTTTGAGTCTGCATGCAAACGAAACCTCTTCAGCAGTACTTTCACATGCTGCTATTTATTTGGTATGTAGTTCTAACTTTTGTGTCTGTGTATGGAATCCTATGATGTTACCATTCAATTGAAACTTCTTCAGCAGAACTTTCACGTGGTGCTATTTACTTAATATGTAGGTCTAACTTTTGAGACTCGGTATGGATCAAATCCCATGGTCCGTGATACTATTCCCATGTTTACACATGGTTTTATTTCATTAATCAAATATGGTTTCGAACCTTTGTATTTGCTATACAAAATACTCTGGTTCATGAAACCTGCTCCTCAGTTTATTTATTTTTATTTTATTTTTTAGCTGGTCCTTACTCACCAGAATTTTGTAGGAAAGTGTAAAGTACCAAGTCTTCCTTGAAGTTTTATTTTATGAGTTACTTGGTTTCAGAAACTGGATTGCTGGGCTTGCGAAGTTTGGCAGCGTCGCTCTCACTCTATGGAACAATCAGTGACCAATAATTTTAGTGGCCACTTTTGAATGAAGCCATGCCAAGTAGAATCTCTTCAAGTCTTTTTGTTTTGACATTGCTAATTTAGCTTGTTTATGTCTGCAGCATCAATTATTCAAAACTTTGTCTCTAAATCCTTAACGCCCCTGCACTTAAAAATGGAAGATGTCTTTTTAAAAAAATACATCTAGAGAGAAAAACAAGTTGAGTTAGAGGCTTGCATATCTTTGGAATTAGCGGCTAAGAATGTACGTTAGCGTTTGATAAGAATTTTAACAGTCGATAATAATCACCTTCATTATTCGTGGCATAAAGGCCTGCAGTATATCTGGAGTATTTAATGAGATGTTTCAAAATGGCAGTAATATAATTATATATATGGATACGGCACAACATATGCAGCTTAACAGAATCTTTATAAATTTGGAGTGCGAAGTAATGTATAAAAACAATCACTCTCTTTCATCGCTATAGATATTTGGAAAGATCATCCATCCTTCTTCAATAAAAGACTCGAGCACTTTCGCATTTCCCAGATTACTCAAACATTATGTACTGTGAAGGACAGAAATAAAATTATTTATTAGCAACCCACGGAAAATTAACCAAAATGTAAAAAAGACACAGACGTTTTTCCTATTCGGGCTGAGGGGTGGGTGGGGAAGGGCGGGTTTGCGTGCCCTTTGTTTTTGCTTTCTGTTACTCAGTTACTCAATTATTTATTCATCTAATTTATTAATTTATTTATTTATTCCTTTTTCTTCTGTTTTCACCTGCTTACATACCGACTTTAATTGGGTGGGGAGCAAACGAGAAAACCATATAGTTTATTTAGCTTCCCAGCTCGCACATTTTATTTCTCTCATATTTTAAAGTTACATCTTACGTATGTAGCACCAATTTCAGTTATGTGAAGTTAAAACAGAAATGAAATATCGCCTAAGCTAAATAAATATAGAATACTTCATGGAAAGTGCGTACAAACACTTTCCGTGTGCAATTGTGTTTATTATATACATATTGAGACATGTATCATTTTGCCAGCCTTTTATTTCAAATCTTTGACAAAATCCTAAGATGGCAAAATATGCCGCTACGTATACACACCGCGAAATGACAAAGAAAACGAAGTAAGCTTATATTGTTTGTATTAAAAAAACGCTTGGTAAAAGTTATAATATGAGTAAGGATATGAAGTAGGAATTACAAGTAATAATAACTTTTTTTCTGGATGTACAAATAAAAATGAACGATTTTGGGTGAAATAACCGGTTTAAAAATAAACAGAAGCATATCAGCTTATTAAAGCTTAGCTGAAGCTTGTCTCTGATAAAAAGTGCAAGCCTACGTCTCGTTCTGCTTTTTTCCTCTTTCGCTGTTGTTTTGTCGGCTCTCCTCAATTTTTTTCATCAATAGTGAAATATAAAAAACTATTCCAATCCAATTTCCGAGATGGGGATTAGGGAGGGGTGGGGCGGGTGAAGGTTCTGAATTTTTTTTCCTAGACGGTAAAACATCAGCACCTGAAGTTTTCAGTAGCTGTTCGTTTATCCCTCGCGAGCATTTTGAGACAAGTTTGGTGATGGTCAGTTACTATGGTTAAGAGATATGACGTCATAAGTAGCAGGTGGTCTAGCCTTTGGATCAGTACCCATATAGAAAATTCAAATCACAGGAAAATAAATTTCAACAGGTAAATGGGATATGTATCGACAAAAACACAATTGTTTCTAGCAAGTTCATTTTGTCTCTTCAGTTGTGAGATTTCACACATTACTTGTTCCAGTTTTTAAAGAAAATTTTTAAAGAAACATAATTATAACTTTTTGAAAAACAAAATAAAGTTGAGAACGCTTAAAATGCGAAATTTAATGCCTTTTTTCGTTTTTGCCTTTGAAATCGCGAAAATATAACCCTGCGAAATACTGTGTTGCCAACATTGCGAAGTTAAGTACTCATAAGGCAACCGCTTTTGTTCTTAACTGGAGGGTTTCGATGGATGTACTCAGTGCAAAAAAGTTGGGCTCTGCGATTTAAAAACTCAAATTAGTAGCTGTCGTAATTAAACAGAATGGTTTACTCTCAAACTAGGTATACAAGCATATTCGTGAAAATGATATCGTCAGAGGATACCGGATTATTTGGATATATAGTCTACCTTTAGTGATATTTGGATATCACTTACCCGATTTTATAAACCTTTGATGCAGAGGTCCACTCAACGCGTAAATAAAACCGACTGGTTCTTTCTTGCCGGATCTCTAATGTAGAGATGCAAATGCCAGACGCCACTTGAAGTGGGAATTAGAACAAAACTGAATGCAAGTCTGGTAATTAATGCGGCAAATGGCTGTTTTATTTGAGGCCAATATTTCGGTTACCAAAACAATCCACTCCACGCTAACGCAACAGCTGCAGTCCCATCGCACTTCAACCATCCTGGCCACTCAATAACAGACATAGAACTTATTTCTTTTGAACTTCAACCTACACCCAGCATGTCACGCCGTAAAGCAAGAGAAGCTTACCTCATAAATGGAGCCGAGGGAAACTCGTACACCAGATCATGGTTTAAACCCCAAGGACGAACTTGAACTGTACGTTATCAACCACTTTATTGTATAATTAGTTACCTGTCTGGAAAGGGATGCAAAATTCTAATCAAGGTATGTGAAACGGTCACCTGATTTGTCAATAGAGGGTATGCGAAATGAGTAACTTCTCGTGAAAAATGGTGTATAAAGGGTAAGGGGTTAGACCTTGGGGTGGAGCCTCTCCGTATCTCCCCGTATATATAAACATTTGTTGAGTTAACCCCCACCACCCCCCTGAGGAAGGCTAATTTTGTTAGCCGAAATATTGAACTCAAATAAAACAGCCCTTTACCGTACTGCCAGCCCTGCATTCAGTTTTGTTCCGGTTTTATAGGCAGCACTGGGGATGGTATTTGAAACCTGAACAAAAATATTACCTTAGCTAGCAAGCTCTGCAGTTCAATATCGGATGTCACTAGTTTTAATTATTCAGTTCCTGCCTCAAAATTTAACTTAGAAAAAATATTCACTTTCTCACTCTCTCGGGTCCTTGTTCAAATATAATCAAAAGCTGTAAATTAATACTTCAGAAATTATCAAAAAAGCAGGGAGCGCGGGCTCTGAAACATGTACAGTTCAGCCAAGGCACGGGGAACCCGCTGGAATATTTTGACATGCCGTAATAAAGTGCAATGCTTAACGTAAGTTACCTTCAATCCTCTGGGGAAAGAGCACTGTATAAGGTGCACAGCAAAAAAGTGCACTCTCCGACCATTCTGCTTCCAGTAACAAAGGGAAGTTGAGATTCAAAGCACGCAAGTTTTTTACGTGTTGGATCCATCAATCTGTCCAGAGATGGTACTGACTTAACAATGCGAGGGGGAACCTAGCAAACTCTGGGAGGAGGTATTTCAGATTGTCACCGGGCCCCAAAAGTTGTTATCTAAATTGAAGGCAAAAACAGTCACCCTTTGTTTCTTTCCTAATCCAGTGGTTTATACTAACACCGGCATCCCCTCCCTCCAAAGATTCCTCAAGTGTTACGTTCCATTGTTTGTTTTTTTTTTTCTGTTAGTGTGCCAAACGGAAAGCTTAGAGCCTTGTTGGTAAAAGGCTTTCACGTTCATGTCAACGTTTGTTTAAAGTGACACCAGTTGGATATGATAATAACTAAAGTGCTCAAAATGAAACCGCAGTTTATGAAGGGCATAACTTGGTCTGAAACTGAAATATTAGAATCACGAACACACATGTAAACAAAATATTTTTGACTAATTTTTTAAGCGAGAGGACGTTCTTCTTAATTTTAGGGGAGCGCTTGCATGATATGTTACTGAGTAGAGTGTGATTTGATAAACGTCATTAATTGTGTATGCAGTGTCTAAAGTACTTCTTTATATATTTATTGTTATTTTTTGATAGGAACCTCACCTTTTGAGCTGAGGCTGAGTCAAGACCTTAAGGTTCTCATTTATGGGGTGATCTAGGTATCCTCAAAACGCCATGAAGTTCTAATTCGAGGTCCTTTTAGCTTTATATTGAAATCATAAAAATGGGCTTGGTAGGCCTGCACGAGATTGGCAAGAATCGGAGCTAGAGTGGAGACTGTCAGACATACTAACAATACCACAGCCTATATAGCCAACGAATGACAACATTTCTTATTGTAGTTACCAGTGATATTTCTAGGTACAGCGTTTAAAACTACATACAGCTATTTCGAGGAAGGTTGTCGGAAAAAATGTGCACGCGAGAATCCTGAAAGGTAATATGGGATACGATCAATCCACTGTTCCTGACACTGTAGCTGTCGAACCTACGTTTGTTACCTTACTTTAGCACTAGCAAACATATGTCCATGGCTTCTCGTGCCATTCTCTCAAATTTCTTTGAAGAACAGTGAACTCAAAAACACCCACAATACCTTTCGAGATTGTCGCGTGCACTTTTTCCGACAACCTTTCTCAAAATAGCTGTATGTAAATAGACAAATGGTTTACAAACGCCAAATTTTGCAACTAGATATCCGAAACGTTCTACAATCACCTTTCAACTGGTAAGGTTGATCACGCATTGAAGAACATATTAAGACTTGCTCTATTTTCTTAAGTTCAGGTGTTTTAAATTAAAACACTTTACTAGCTGATTTTAATTAGAAAGGACCAAGGAGCGGCAGTAATGATCACAACACTGTGGCTATATGTCCGGCAGCTGCGGGAGGGTCTTAAAAAAACTAAATGCCCGGCAGTCAGAACATTTTCTAGAATTTCTGCAAAATCCCTTTTCCTGATCGTTTGAAAGTATTCTATCTTCATTTAGAATAACCAAGCGATCAGGAAAACAAAACTGCCTTCACAGCTGAGCGGTTGTAGTTTCCTTGGCATAGAGTAGAGCCGACGCTGTTTCGACACAAAGAAACTTGTGAATAGCAGCGCGTGACTCACGGGTGCACTTTCACACAGGCGTCAAAAGTCGGGTTTTCGGCCGAAAAAAACTGTTAGACGCAAAAGCCGGCCCATTTGGTGGTGACTTTACCGAAAATCGGGCTAGAATATTTTGCAAAATGAGCAGCGTTGATGCCAAAGGGCCTGAAACTTCACCTGCCATTTTCAAAGATTAGCAGAATTCTCTGGAAACATCTAACCAATTTTTTGAAAACCAACCTAACGAAATTTGCAGTTATTTGAGTGAAAAGGGGTCATTAAGGTAGGTTTCTTAAGCCCGAGAAGCTCCAACATCACAGTAACGAAGGCATGGAAAGGAGAAAAAAAGAAAGAGCGCGGGGTGAACGAAAGGAGGAGAAGCAAAAAGGCAATGGTTGCACTCACTTTTATATCTCGTTTATGATGGCCACTTTTGGCCGGAAGAACCAGTTGGACGCAAAAGGCTGATTTGGCGGTAGACTACGAGTATTCCTCATATTTCCTGAGGGATAGTAGAGCGAACAAAACGCGGGCGCGCGTGAAAATCACCCCACGCGAGAAAAGGTGAGAAGAGGAAAAGATAGAGAAAAATGAGGGACTACAGACAAAATCCAAGCTTTTGACCTTATGCGTTGCTCTCACAAGACAAAACTCTGATTGGCTCTCCCCACCGCGTCTCGCCATTCCTACGATAGAATTTCAGGAGGTAGCTACAGATGCCCTTCTCAGTGTTTAACGTTTAAATTCTTCATCGAGATTGTATGACTGCACTTAAATCTATACCTGGAGTTATGGAAACCGGATTTTTTTTTTGCGTGCTTTGTGGTTAGTGGATAGTGTAGACAGAATTGCTATCTTACCCGCACCCCCCTCCATCCCCCCTCCCTTCCTTTTTTTTTTTGTTTAACACAAGTGACAGTTATTTGAAATCAGTGCGCGCCTGAAGCTGGTTTCGGTACTGTTTTGTAGTTTACTTTTAGATATTGATCACCTTGAGAAAAGTTTCCCAGAGAGCATCATGTAAAGCTCTGAGATGGGACAAAGTTATTACGATTCGCGGAGTCTGCATCGTCCAATAATCGTATTTTAGTAAAATCCAACTAGTGGTCTATTATCAATGCTGCGTTCTGATTGGTTGAGCTACTACTAGGCTTTACGTTATAGCCCATTAGTAGCGAAAAGCGCTCGCTTTTTGGCGGCAAAAAAGGATTAAAGTCTAGCTTTAACTACATAATTTTTTTTATTCTTGATATTTTAGACCAACTAGTTGGATTTTACTAAAACAATTATTCTTCTCGCCCTCATGGCCTCTGAGACAATAGCCCATTCGGCCTTCTGCCTCATGGCTATTGACTCAGAGCCCATTCGGGCTCGAGGAATAATTGTTAAATATTCTCGTTTCATTTGGCTAAACGGATCAGTCACCTTGATCAGGGCTGAGACAGAAAGGTACGATATTGTTCGCTTTTCTAAGGTGACCACTAAGCCTTTGGCATCGGCAACAGGCTATTAGGAGTCAAATGAATTAGGTGAGAGCAAAATTGGAGGTGAACTTTGACCCCGGGCCAAGACTTTTTTTCTGGAGTGACAACAAGGCTAAGCTGATCTGCCGACCGTGTGACTCTACATCCGTGAACTTGAATAAGACGAGTGTAAGAGAAAAGTCCAGAGGTGCGTTTCTGCCAATAGGCTAAGTTTTTCCGAGTTATTCGATGACATTTCAGCGCTTGTGTTAAGCCAAAATTGAAATTCCTCTGCTAGCTTAGCTGGGCCCTCTTGATTGTGTATTGATGTGAAAATCTTTAAGGTGAGTGGATTTTTAGGGTTTAGTTTCATCGCACTTTGCTCGACATCCCAAAATGGCTCCTCATCTTGGGTGTTTTGAGTGATACAATTTGAAGTGGGACTCTTTCGCTTCTCCGTGTCTCTATTTGTCTACTTTTCACAAAACTTTGAAGAAATATTTATTTTATTCCGGGTGGGACTCTTCTTCCTTAGGGGATGTTTGAGCATTCACAGGCAGTGTGGTTTCCATAACTTATTTAGTAGTGAGGGCAACGAGTAGGC